CTCTTTCTCAATTTTAATTTTATAGATTCTGTTGCCCAAACTCTATCTATAGTCGAGAATCGGGGAGTTTGAACGGTGGAATTCTGCGAAATACCAAGAAACGATCAACATGTCACTTCCGGCCCACGAGGGCAGCGGCAGCAATTCCCAACCCCATAATCACCACCAGCCAAACCAGAATCAACTGTCATCGTCGCATTCCGTCATCTCATCCACTTCCACATCCACCTCCAGTTCCAGCTCCCATCACCACCAGGACCACCACCATGGCTCTCAATCCGAACCTCAATACCACGACATCAACAATGCTGACCCGGACCCCAACGCCCTCGAGAAGCAATCCACCGTCGCCTCGGGCTTCTCCGCCACCCTGGAGACGCGCACGCACTCGATCGTTTCGCGCATCCGCAGCCGCGAGCCGGGCCAAACCGCCCGCTTCACCCACCCGCTTTCCCACACCAAGACCACCGAGGACGTCATCGTCGACTTTGACGGGCCGGATGATCCCTATCGGCCCATGAATTGGAGCTTTCGGAAGAAGGCGATCACGACGGTTTTGTACGGGTTGACGACAATGGGTATGTTTCCAGGTTTATCTTATCTCCGGGGAGGGATTAGAGTTGGGTGGTGGCGCATGCATGCGGATGCATTTCGGAGGGTTTCTGTTCTATGAGGATGATATGCCTATGCTAATACTTCTTATTCTCGGTGAATAGGTGCTACGTGGGCGAGTTCGATGTATGTTATCCCCAAGCTTATTTGGAGTGGTGTGTGAGTACAATTGGTTTAGGTGATGATGCTAACAAGATGCGCATCTAGTTACTCCACCGGTACAACGCAAGTCGACTCGGAGTTTCATGTTGGCGAGGAAGTCGGGACATTGGGGACGACGTTGTTGCTTTTCGGGTTCGGTACGTCTACGCCCTTCCACCGTCACTTGCAACCATTCTATGAAGGGAATTTTCAAATTGACTAACAGATGAACAGGCCTCGGCCCACTGATCTGGGCGCCCATCTCCGAAGTCTACGGCCGCAAACCCGCCGTGCTGGCCCCCTACTTCATCGCCGCGATCTTCTCCTTCGGCACCGCCACCGCGAAAGACCTGCAGACCGTGATGCTGACCCGCTTCTTTACGGGCTTTTTTGGGTCTGCCCCGGTCACCAACACCGGCGGCGTGCTCAGCGACATCTGGACGGCGGAGCAGCGCGGCGCGGCGATCGTGGGCTACGCGATGGCCGTTGTCGGCGGGCCCGTACTGGGACCCATCGTCGGCGGGGCGATCACGCAAAGCTACCTCGGCTGGCGGTGGACGCAGTACATCACGGGCATCATGATGATGTTCTTCCTCGCTCTCGACCTTTTATGTTTGGACGAATCCTACCCTCCGGTCCTCCTGGTGTACAAAGCGCAACGCCTGCGCTTCAGCACCGGCAACTGGGCCTTGCACGCGCGCCACGAAGAATGGGACGTGACGCTGCGCGAGCTCGGCAACAAATACATGATCCGTCCCTTCGCGCTCCTGACCACGCCCATCTGCTTCCTCGTGGCGCTCTACGCCTCCTTCGTCTACGGCATCCTCTACCTCAGTCTCGCCGCCTTCCCCATCGAATTCCAGCGCATCCGGGGCTGGAACCCCGTCGTCGGCGCCCTGCCCTTCCTGGCTTATCTGATCGGCATCCTCTGCGGCGCCGCCATCAACCTCTTCAACCAGCGCTTCTACGTCCGCCGCTTCAAGGCCAACGGCAACCGCCCCGTCCCCGAAGCCCGGCTCCCGCCCATGATGCTCGGCTCGGTGTTTTTCGCGGGAGGGTTGTTTCTGTTCGGCTGGACCGGCACCCTCAAGTTTCACTGGATCTGTCCCTGCATCGGGGCCGTGTTCATGGGCTTCGGGTTCTTCACCATCTTCCAGGCCGCCCTCAACTATCTGATCGACACCTTTCAGGCGGTCTCGGCCAGCGCCGTCGCGGCCAATACCTTCATGCGCAGTCTCTTCGCGGGCTGTTTCCCCCTGTTTGCGAATATCATGTTCACGAAGATGGGGGTGCCCTGGGCGGCGAGTGTGTTGGGATTCGTGGCCGTGGCGTTGATCCCCATTCCCTATCTGTTTTATATTTACGGGAAGCGCATTCGGGCGCGCGGGAAGTGGTCGCGCGCTTCGGTTTATGATTGATTTACTCTTCGTCTTTCTAGATGGAGATTATATCTGGGGAATGGGGTTGGGTCCCAGGGTGGGTCATTCGGCAGCACGGCTTCTGCTCTGAAAAGTGTTTTGTGATTTATGATACCTCTGATGAACGCGGTTGGATTTCGTGTTGTGTGTTTTGTCTTTACTTGCATGACCTGTATATATGCATACGACATGATCGGGGATGTTAGATACCCACTTTCGTTCTTACATGATAATGTTAGTCACTAATAGATTTGTTGTTTTGATTTTTTCGACTTGATGTGAGCTCGTGGTTGCTATTGTTGTATCTGCATAATGTAGTTATCACTGCTGATTACGCTTAGTCATCGATACACAGACTCAGAGTAAATGCACCGACCCATTTACGAGGACAGGGATTCTGCTTCGCCGGTAATGGGCAGCAGGCAGATGAGTGGATGAGACACCACGCTATCCTCTTCTAATACAGCTACAGCAGAGAGAAGTCTTCATCACTGGGTATAATGGAGGTTTTATGGATATGCTACCGTGAAGCATCTACAGGAACTGGTCTGGTTTGTTGTTCGGGTTTACGCGAGTCAGCTGCGTAGGTAGGGTGCTGGGTGCAGGGCACTGAGGCAAAGAGTCGCTTAGTTAGTCTCCAGCTCAACATGTGATTTCCCCCCTCTCGGAAAAACTCCCAATCTCGTTGGCAAATTACGTCAGGTAGGGGGGAAGCACGAGACTGGAGACTGGAGACTGGAGAGGGGGGAGGGAGGGAGAAGGAGAAAAAGAAAAAAAAAAAAAAAAAAAAAAACAGATTTGTAGACGGGGGAGGCGGGATGGAATGTCATG